TAGGCCCCCCCTTGCCATGGCAAGGGGCTAACTGGTGAAAGTGCTCTAAGACCCAGACCCATCCTATTCCTGAGCCCCCCCCATCCCCACGCAAGCCTGGAGAGAGAGAGAGCTTCAATTTTCTGTTTTTTAATTTTACTTTTCATTATTTATTTATTTTTAATGTACAAAATGACCATTTTGCCTTCATTTTCAACGGCAAATTAGATGAAATGTTGTGAATTTAGATGGAAGGGAAATTGCAAAAAAAAAGTTCGGGTCCTTAATTTTCTTTAAAAAAAAAGATAATGGCCAATTGAAACTAAAGTACAAATTCATGGGCAACTCACCAATATACCAAAAAAAACAAAAAAACTGACACGTCTCAAACTCATTTTCCATGATGTGCGGCAAAACTTCCCAAACGGACACGTCTCAAACTCAAATGGGCAAATCTTCGAAGTTTCAAACGCTGGGCTCACAAGTTAAGCCAAAAATCATCCTCAAAGCAAAAGCAAAAGCAAAAGCAAAGCACCCAAGTTTCAGTAAGGACTTCTCCTTTTCTGTGCTTTTTTTATAATCTTATTAATTAAGATAAGCAGCACTGCCGCAGCTCCATAGACTTCACTGTGTTTTCTTTATTTGGATGCCAAAAAGATTGGAGCCAAGAGAGAGTGGGTGTCTAAAGAAAACCCAAGTCTCTTGACTACAGAGATGGGTACTTTGACTGTTGCTTCCTCTGTGCTTCCTTCGGATTTCAAACCTTCACTCTCTCTATCTGATCACAGAGGCTCTCTCCTGCACTGTACAAAAATACCCAAGAAAAGAAACAGGGCCATGGTTCCTGTAAGCTTCTTTTTCTTTTATTTATTTTTATTTATAAAAAAAAAGATTCACAAAATTGTTTCTTGGGTTTATTATTATTATTATTATTATTTTGTGTGTGGGTTATTTTGGACAAGAAAGGTTGAAATGGTTTGTTTGATTAGGTTGCAAGGCTATTTGGGCCAGCCATATTTGAAGCGTCAAAGCTGAAGGTTCTGTTTTTAGGAGTGGATGAGAAGAAGCACCCAGGGAACCTTCCAAGAACTTACACCCTTACTCACAGTGATATCACCTCAAAACTCACTCTGGCAGTTTCACAGACAATTGACAACTCTCAGGTTTGTGCCCTTACTTGTGTGTTGTGTCTGTTTTTCTTGTGGCTCAAGTAAAAAATTTAACAGAGGAAATCAAACAGAGGATTGTTGTTTATGTTATTAGCTATTGGTGTAGATAAAATATAAATTTTTTGGATTGATAATTGGGGAAATTGATTTGCAGTTGCAAGGGTGGTACAACAAGTTACAGAGAGATGAAGTTGTGGCTGAGTGGAAGAAAGTTAAGGACAAGATGTCTCTTCATGTTCACTGCCACATAAGTGGAGGTCATTTCCTTCTAGATCTGTTTGCAAGGCTGAGATTCTTCATCTTCTGCAAAGAACTTCCTGTTGTAAGTCATTAATTGATAATTAATTAATTAATTAATTACTCTTAATTTTGTCCTTTTGATCTTTATTAATATTTAAAACCAATATCTAAATAGGTTTTGAAGGCCTTTGTTCATGGGGATGGCAATCTGTTCAGCAAGTTCCCAGAATTGCAGGAGGCTTCGGTTTGGGTTTACTTCCACTCAAGCATTCCAGAATTCAACAAGGTGGAATGTTGGGGTCCACTCAGTGATGCAGCAGCACCTTGTAGAAGTGGGCGAGGTGGGGTCCACCAGGAAAACAGGGAGGAAACTTCTCCAAGCAACTGGGACTTGCCAGAGCCATGCCAAGAAAAGTGTAGCTGTTGCTTCCCACCATTGAGTTTGGTTCCGTGGCCCCAAGAGCTTCCCCATGTAAATGAAACTAGATATGGTCCCCAGCAGCGATTTGAGGGCCAAACCCAAGAAACAAACTAAAACAATTTCCTTAGTTTGTTTGATTTGATGTAAATAGAAACATATTTTGTTTTAGGAAGTCAGACTTATTCATGGTCAGACCAAATCCCATTCAAGCACTATGAATCAGTGTTCTTGAACGGGGCTGTGCTATCTATCATCAGTATGTTCCAGTTCTGGTTGCCAAGTTACTGTAAATGTAGTTGGGGCGTTATTTGCATCAACTATTAAATTGTAAAAGTAGATGAATATTTAAATAGATAGATTCGATATATGTTTTTCTATTATGGTTTTTTGTTCTTTAATATAAGTGATAGTCTACAATATTCTAAACTATGAAAGAATGGTGTAAGAAAGTGGGCACGTGATCATGATCGACTGACCTAATTCACATATGCTTTTCTACAACGAATATGAGAAATATTATTGTTGCGTCGAAAAGATCATCATGCACTCTTCTCTTTATTATTGGAGTGTATGAACATTTTTAAAATGACAATAATAGCGACCGGTGGATGGCAATTAAAAGTGTCATATATAAGTCATTTTACTCCAGTATCTTCTCATAAATTGAACATGCAAATTGTAATGGGAAATTGGGCAAAATATCACTCATTTATTGGTCATATACTATCCACCCTAAAACCCAGTAAAGCCGTGTGGCTATACTTTTTTTAAAATTAAAAAATTCGCATATAGCTGAGCGGCTATACTATTTTTTAGAATAGTATACTATTTTAAAAAAATTAAAAAATCGGGTATAGCCGCGCGGCTATACTATTTATATTAAAAAATGGAAGAGAGACTATTGTAGCAAATTCAGAGTCAGAGCATTCAAACCAATAGGAAGAGAAACTAAAAAGAAAATCATTCCAATTATGGTAGCAAAACTCACAAGACAGAAAATAATCCCCAAGTTACTGATCCTCTAGCAATCATGTAGCTTGCCAAACCCACATCTAATACTAACAAAGCTTTTGCTTCTGCTTTCCATTTCGTAACAAAAATAGAAATAACCAAACCAACTTAAATGTCTAAGCATCACCCAACAGAAGAATTCAGCATAACACAATTATTGGATTAGTATAAGGTGATTTTAGCAAAACTACATAAACCCACATAAATCAGGCAAAAAGGTTCGAGCTTTTCTCGTTCATTTTCACTTTCCAGAAAATTTTCTCAGTAACCAAACAAGGGAACTAGATGAAAAACAAAGAAGACAGATGCCAAAGGCCACACCCCACTCGTCTTCTTCATCAAGAGGTTGAGTGGTTCGCACTGGAGAGGGGTTCACGGGACGCTGATGATCATGGATTTGACCAGCCACAGGGCGCAAAAGCCCAGATCAAGATAAATCCAACAGCTCAAATCCAAACACAGCAAGTGAGATAGAGCGACCCAGAGAGAGAGAGCTGAGAGAAAAAAGAAAAAGTTTAAGTGGCCAATAAGTATATATTTAAAAGTTATATTTGCAAAATGTGTGCGTACACGGTACATGGGGTATTTGCATACTAAATTCGGATTGCAGTTTTAATAAACCGAGTATAGCCGGGCGGCTATACTATTTGAAAATAAAAAATAAAAACTGGATATTGCCGGGCGGCTATACTAATTATGTATATATATATATATATATATATTAAAAAAAGACCTGCTTAGCGACTAGGCACGACTTTTCAAAACAGTAAAGCCACGAGTCCATACTATTTTTTTTTTTAAATCAAGTATAGCCGCGCGTCTATACATTCATTCATAGTTAGTAAAATACGGAACTTTTGTTAAATTACAACTTAAATGTTTGGCCACAATATTATATTTTAATATAAGTTATCTATATTTTTCAATATATATTCTTTTTATTCAATAATATGTTAGAATTATGTTTATAAGGCCATCCCCAATGGTTGGGGCTCTAAAAAGGATTTATAGAGCCCCATTTAGAGTTCCGATGGAATCTTTGGGGCACTAAAGGAATCTCTCCCACAATGGGACGCTCTATATTCGGGGATCCATTTATGATGTAATTTGATTTATGTGCCATTTTTTATTTTTGTTAACTTATTATGTTTTAATGAATGTTTATGTTATGTTAGTTTTTTTTTTTTTTTTTTTGAACATTTCAACCCAAAAAAATCAAAATTTGGACAAGATTTAAAAAAAAAAGTGATTAGAGTAAAGAAAAAAAAACTAGCCATTTATTTCTATATAAAAAATGAGGACATTCTTTTGAAAAGAAAAAGAAACGGTAGAAAAAGAGGAGAGTACAAAAATAAGTTTTTTTTATGTGCTAGCGGGCCCCATGCATGTGGTTTGGTAGGAGAGTATGAGGGCAGTTGTGCGTCTTGGGCGATTGAGGAGATTAAAAAGTGATTCATGTGGGAACACTCGGGCTGAAGGGGCTTCATCCGTGTCCACAGATTTGAGGACAGCTCCGTCGGGTCTTTAACATTTAGAGCCCAAAATCTCTCCCATTGGGGATGCCTTTTTTGCATTGGGCTGCATATATGAGAGATCTGTGGTGGATGAGCCCCAAATAAAGTCCCCATTGGGATGACCTAATACTTGAATTTTGTGTGTCTTATTGAAATTTTTATAAAAATACGTGTATTAAACATGAAAAATACCTACAAACCTATATAATATGAGTATTGTCCGTTTGCTTTTAAAAAATGTGAACTTTATTGAGTCTTTAAGACGTGTGCAGAATACTAATGTATTATTAAAAAATATATGTGAGAATTATGTGTATAATACTTGAATAATATATAAAGAGTCTACCCGTTCGGCTATACTATTTATTTAAAAAACATTTAAACAAAAAACCCAGTAACGCCGGATGGCTGTACTATTTTTAATTTTTATTTAAAAAAATCGACTAAAACTGCACGGCTATATTATATATATATATACACATATAAAAGGAACGAGCCCAGCGATTTGGCTTTCACGTGGCAAAATAGGTAAAGCCGGTATAGCCGCCCGGGTATACGATTTGTAAGAAACATTAAAAATCGAGTATAGCCGCCGGGCCATACTAGTTTTAAAAAACAATTAAAAACGGGTATAGCCGGACAATTATACTATTGATATACATTTAAAAAGACCCGTTAGCGCCTATGCTCCACGTGTCAAAACAGTAAAGCCGGTCGGCTATACTATTTTTTTATAAAAAAATCGCGTATGGCCGCGCGGCTATAATATTTATACGTGCCAGGCCAGTATAAAAAAATAGGTACAGCCGCTCGGCGATATTATTTTAAAAAAACATTAATAAACCCGCGTATAGCCGGTCGGCTAAACGATTTTAAAAGTTAAAAATTATAGAACCTGGTGTAGCCGGTCGGCTATACTATTTATGTATATTGAAAAAGGACGTGTCAACAACAGGAAAGACGCACGGCTATACCATGTTTTGAAAAAAAAAGAAGGAAAAATCCGAGTATAATATGATATAATACGGAGGCAATACAATGTTCTGGGCAGTTCCATACAGATTGATTTTCTCATTCTTTACACCAAGCCGATCACGACATACTTGAGGAAAATCCTTCTCTTAAGCAAATCCAAGTGGCAGAAAAGGCTCTCAAAAGTGTTGGAAGTTGAACATTAGGATGATCCAAATGAGAGAGAGAGAGAGAATAATAAGGGGGAAGAAGAAGAGGAGAGAAGAGAGAAGAGAAGTGAAACCCACAAGATGCAGAAAAAGGAGAGGAGATGCATGATTGGGGTTTCATCTCTGAGAGAGCAGAGCAAAGATTCGAAGAATAAACCAAAATTTTCAGAGAGGAGAAGAGAGGAGAGAGAGAGAGAGAGAGAGAGAGAGAGAGAGAGAGTGTTCCGAGAGAGCAACTGAAAAAGTATGCAAAGGGAACAAGTATGCAAATATAAGTATTTATAGATAATATCTCATCAATGAATATATGCTGGATAATATATGACCAATAAGTTTTAAAATAGTTTAAAAGAGTTAAGTATAAATTTGAGCTTAAACATTGTCCTTGACGTCGCCAACTTCTATAGTTTTGGAGCAAAAAATGTGAAATAATTGTGATCCATTTACAAAGAATGTGAAGATACTACACCACAATGACCAACTTATCTTTCAGTATTCTCTCTTTAAATATACAAGGGAGCACCGAGAAGGTGAAAATAATTGATAACAACCCCCCTCTCGATCTATACATATTTCGACTACTGAAGTGGGAAAAAGAGAATAAATAAACATTTGAAAAAGATTAAACCAATCATCGCATCAACTCTTGTCTTAGCCTTTGGGGTCCCAGTAAAATCTCCGTTCCTTTGTGGGTTGATTTAAGTTTACCATCCGATCAGCTCTTTTATCATGTCAAAAAGAAATGACATATCATCCTCATTGGATTCCCATTCCTCGGCCAATACGAGCAATTGCGAAGGTTGCTAAGTTGGTATCGAAGTCCTGCAGGAGGTCACCGGATCACAGTTCGTCCAAGTGATGATGCTCCAATTTCACTTTCTGTGTTCTGCAATAATAATTTGATTTACATGAGTAAGGGAAAAACACAGGGAACAAGTAAATGCAATATAGAGCACTTGCATAAACCAATTTTAATTCACGTTCTCAGTAGAATGTCAAGGATATGGAACACAATTAGTTCCTCACCACAAAAGCAGAATAATCAATGCCACTCATTATATATACATTATACCCTCGTCAAATTACTAAGAAATAAGGAATAACTATTAACCAAATTGATGGCATGTAGTATGCATTAATTTCCATCAACTATTGAGTCTTTTTACCTGGGATTTAGGGGAAGGAAATACATTCCAAAATCTAAGTGTTTCATCTCCTGCTCCAGTGACAATCGTCTGAAACAACAATAATCAATGTAATAGATCAGAATATGCATAAAGGAACGTCAATTAATTTGCATAACCATAAAAATGGCAGGTAATTAGAAGGAATTGGGGGTACATTACCTGTCCATCGGGTGAGATAGCAAGATAAAGAACTCTGTATGTATGGCCAGTAAGAGTTGCCAGCTGCATCAGCAGAAGAAAATTGAAAATTAGAAATGGAAGTAAAGACATTTATTGGTTACAGGAATTCTCAAGACTTTGGCACTTTGGTACCTTGGACATGGTGGGATATCTCCAAACTATTATCTGATTTTGGGAGTACCCGTGGGTGCTGACGAGTTCATTGACATTTTTAGACCACACAAGATTGCATACCTGCATATATACAATGGATGGAAGCAGAGTCCATGTTAGAAAGAGGGAGGGGGAGGGATTTCAGTCACCAACT